TAGCCGTAATAACGATAGAACTGGTCAAGACCAACAGAAGTTACGGTTCAAAATTTCGATTGGTGAAAAATTGATCGAGTAATAGAATTTAAACCAACCAGCCTTTTTGTATGGAAATATATGGAGCCAGGCACATTTTGGCCGAAAAGGAGCATCAAGTATATCTTGGTCTTTGTATACAGCACTTATCCGTATGAACGTTTCCATTGTATCCGGATTATTCAGGATGTTTACAGCTGTTACAGCTGTTAACCTATTTACCAGATAAAAAACGTAAGTAAAAATAATTTAACGTCAACATTACGGGGGTTTAACTGAAATAACCGAGGCGTTTAATAGTAAAACGTTTCCTCCTGAGAGGATGGCCGATCTGTAGTCTTTAGGCCCTGTTCGGGCAAAATCACCGAACACAATTTGAACCCTGAATGTCGAATTATCCGAAATTGATATCCGGTATTTCAACACTCGTCGATACTGCTGTCCGGAGAACAACACTGCACGATTGCACTAGTACGTATGGGGGAAAGTGGTGGACACACTGGCGATATCCCTGGCGGCACTTGTGGTGTTAGCTTTCTCGGTGCTCGTGGCGTCACTGGTACTTCTCCTGGTGCAACTGCTCATACTGGTGCTGGTGTTGGTGCTACGCCTTTTGGTGCTGCTGCAGATATCGTTTGCGCTGATGCTTCTCATGATGTTGCTGTCAGTAGCTCCGCTATTGATGGAGCTGGTCGCGATGGCGCCGGTCGCGATGGCACCGCTTTGGGTGATTCTGCTGCTCGCGATACCACTGTCGTTGGCGCTGCACTGGGTGCTGCTGCTGTACTTCGTTGTGATGCTCTGGGCGTTGGTTCAGTTTGTGGAGCTAGTCGTGGTGGCGCCACAGTTTTCTGGTCGCATCTCCTTGGTACCGGGCTTGTTCCTGCTGTTGATGGTGTGGCCACTGGTAGTGCCGCTCTTGGTTCTGCTGCTCTTGGTACTGTTGCTATCAGTGGTGCCGTCACCAGTCCTGAACGTGGTGTTGGTACTGTGAGTGGGGCTGTTGGTGGTGCTGCTTACGGTGGTGCTGTTGTGGGTGATGTTTTGTTTTGTGGTCCCTCTGCCGGTGGTGCTATAGTCGGCGCTGTTTGTAGTGCTAGTGCTTCTGTTGGTGGTGCTGCTGCTTCTGTTGGTGGACGACTTGTGAGTGATGCCATCTCAGCGTGCCGCTGTTGCTGTGACGGGTGTGTGTGTTGCGCTAGCTTGTGATGTTGAAAGACAAAAATCAACCAAATTCAATATACTGACCATCAACGCCATCGACTTCGATTCAATGCTTGGGGACAACCAATACGACCAATGGTTTCAAAACAACCTGCGTTGCAATCAAGAAACGTTCATCC